GCACTATATCACTCCATGATTTCCTGTTATGCAGTACGACTTCACAAAGTTTTGCTTGCCGATACATGCGTTTAGTGACTTGATTACAAGAAAAAGTTTCTCCTCGCTATGAGCAATCGCTCAACCTCAAAGTGTAAGCTTAGTCTGATGACGTAGATTGATCGTTCCGAATATCGATTAATTATTTTTGCCGTGTATTGGCATACTACAGATCTTATACGTCTGTTTTACGATGCTGCCGTTTGAAAACTGGCAAAATAAACAAGTGATGTATGACAGTTTTCTAAAGCCGTTTACAATGAATTGGCATTAAAATAGAAAAGTACATTTTCCCCTAGTATCATTTTTACTATCTCATTTACATATCTGCTTTTTTTCTGTAACGGCAAAGGACCGGCGCCTTCAAAGTTGCCCTAAAATTGCAGCCTGACGTCAACCATTCTCGATTGCAGGCGAAGTGGCCATAGCCATCGACCTCATTTCTTCTCAATGACTATGCACGCTATTAGTGGCCGATGATGCCTCCAGGCACAAGTGGACTATCTTTTACTTACGCACGAAACATTCGTACCTCTCATTCGCAACCTTGTGTGAACTCGGTTTATCGCCGTCCGCTGCTACGCGTTTGATTCGATTTTCGGCCACACTTTTCTCCGCAACGTTTGGTTCATAGCATGGACCATTATGTGTCTATGTCTTTCCAGCTTGCTACTAGCGAATGACTACGCACATGAAGATAATCCCTTGATTTCGATTTGACGGGAGGAGGGAGGGGGAGCGTCAAAGAATTTAGTCAGGCTTGTCATAAATTGGCGGGTCAGAATCTACTAAAACTTTCCATATTCATATTATGTTGCAGCATGTCGCGTGATTGGATTTGGGACCTTGTTAAATGACTAGCTTGTTTAGCTGTTGTCTAGTTTAATTAGAGGACATTTTATTCATGGATTCGTTTACCTATTAATATATGCAATAATTTACTTGGTTGATTCCCTAGCTAATTGATCAGTTACTTAAATAATTTACTTGCTTAATCAGTACTTATTTATCTATTTGCTTAGTAACTTACCTTATCACTTACTGAAATAATTACTTTACTATTTTGTTGACAGATTGGAGCAATACCTTGCCTCGTGAAATTTCGTACTTACTAACCTACTTTATTATTTTCCATGCCGTCTAACATAAACAAAGAATACCTTTGCCAGATGTTCATTTGGCCGGTAAACTAGTAGGTACAGAGACAGCTGACAGAAAATCCTACTTAAAATCCTACCCAAGGCCTCTGGCATACACACGATCAGCTTTTGGATATTTCTGAATAGGAAAAACGAGAAGAAGATAATTAAAAACGTTTGCAACTATTAAGATGTTGGACTCTGTTGCAGTTTCTCTCAGGACGCTCTTCGTGGAGAACACATTTAAAATGTTGTCTACAGTGTTGGTTCACCTCCACTTGGCCTGAGAGGTCATGAGACTGGACTGCATAATGTTCGAAAGCAACTTGTACAACTGGAGGGATATGGCTAGTATCCAATGAGATGGCTGTTGTCTGATCAGGAGGCTTTGCCTAGTCGATATATGGAGTTTGGAGAGGTATAGAAGTTTCTGGTGACGAGCCTCACGCAACACAAATGCGTAGATATCAAGTTGAAGTAGAAATGATTTTAGAGAGCACAAGACAAGGATCATTCAGCGAATCAAAGTTATGACGGCAGTCTGTAATTTTCTGTTTCATTTCTAGTACCCATTTGTCTACTCTGAAGGTATGAAAGGAGACTTGTCCTGGCCGAGATTCCAACCCGTGATTTCTCCGGTGAACTTATGTATGGCAGAAAGCAATCCTCGCCGAAGATACCGCTTTAAGCAGGAATATAATGACATTACAGATTACGGATCATTCTCCCATACCAATGGACCTGCCGTCTAATCAACACACTATGAACACTCACAGGTTTCTCTGCCATAAACAGAACGAAGATGATGATCATACGGAAGAGTAATAAAAAGAAGAGCAAAGAGCCGTGTAAATCCAGAAATACGATTCGTTGTAGATTGTTAATTTAACCGGGATATCAAGTTCAGCAGCTTCCTAACAAATTTCCGAAATAAAGGCATCAGTTTCTATGTGCAGCCATATGTAAATTGAGCTCTTGCCAAAATCCACCTTTTCTTTAATTATTTACCTTGCTTTCAGAGCTACTTGCCTCATCTGAACAGCAACGTCTTCTTCGACAAACATCACTTAACAACAAGCAGGAATCCGGTCGCCTACCGCAGCCAACTGTACTTTCCGTCGATCAGCTGATGCACGCTTAGGCAGCGGTTAAAACTCTACAAGACCGTCGTACTACCGTTACAGGAAACTGCCTGAGGTGCTTCTGCACTTCAAGCTAAAAAACCTGCAGATCTACAGCACTGGACGCTTGGCCCCTTCACCTTGTCCTGTAATTGTCTGTTTTCAGATTTCTTTTGCACGTCTACTGCTTCTGATCGAAGTTTAAAGTCAACATGAGAGCTCAGCTCGTCCTTAGGCTACTACTGAAGCTCCACTATCTGCATGCCATGGATTTTCATACCGTATTACTATCAAGCTTCATTATCAACGTCAGTCGCTAGGAGACGGCAGAGAAGTCGGCTGAAGTTTGATAGTTACAACGTTCTTCAATGATTGCTGTTTGATTAGCGTTATTACCGGTATTCTCGAACGACACGTCACTCTGAAGTTATTGACAAATAAACTTTTCAACCTCATGATGTGCAGCGGTTGGAAACAGTCACATTAACCAGGATTTGAAGGCAGAAAAGATCAGCTGGGCGATAGCTCAGGCCTGTTTATAAAACGAAGTACGCGTGTCACTAAGCACTCCTAGTTCGGCCACGATTGGCTTCCGGCTCCGCACGAGTCGTGACGTGATATCGCCTGCCGCCGTCGTCGTACCTCTTCTGCCAGTTTCTACTTCTTCCTACTCCTCCTCCTCCTCCTACTCCTCGTTCTCTTGATCGCTGTGCCTGGCGTCTCTCGTGTTATAGTGATAGCGCTGGTTTCGCGGGCGGTTTTTGCTCACTTAGCGAGCATAGCATGCGCCAAACGTGAACAGTGACAAATCGTTCATCTTTTGAGAAACAGTAGCAAGCAGCACTTGAACCGCTCGTCTCAAAAATGGATACAGAAATGGTAGTTGGGATGAGTCACGACTGGACAGCCGATCTCTGGGACTGGCCATTGCAGCAGGACACGGTCATTCGAACGGTCAACACCAAAGAACGCTTCGAAGTGGCCTTAGATGCAAAGGGCTTTCGGCCAAATGAAATTGAGGTGAGTTGGTTCAGTGACGATCATCGCGCTTTCATCGTTACTTCCGTATATCTGTTGGATTTAACCTCTTCCTCATATATTTTACGAAACCTATGATTTCTCTCTTATTGTTTAAAATAGTCGTATCGAAAACGTTATTATTGTAGCGAACTGACGATTTTTGTAAAATCTCCTGATTGACTCAAAATTAAGACAGCAATAGTACTTCATTCGCAGATCATCCCTCTTAGAAGATTTTGTCTCTGAAAGACGGTTTTGTTCGATCGACAAAGCTCCGGATTCGCAGCATGAGCATCGCGTTTCAGAATGCTGGTCAGTTTACGACTGTGCTCCACAATTCAACTTGAGATTCCCGGTCAGTGATAGAGGGGCAAGAGGGAAACTACTAATATCGGTTCAGCTATGGTAGCCAGGGTCCACAAGGAACCTTGTACCTATTGAAAGAGTAGAATGGTATTCCTGGAGAACATCAGACAGAAAGGTGGAGGCAGTGCTATCATGATTTTGGGATTAAAGTAAGCGTTGTGTTCACACCGGTACTGTCCTTGAGAATGACTTACGAATCATTAGATATGTCCACAGCAAAATCGCACCGCTCATCAATTGCTGTTCAAGCTTAGAGGGTCGTTGAGGGACATCAAGTCTCGATGGTACCAGAAAGCATAAGGTGCGTGAATGTACAACAGCATGACACTGTTGGCTTCTGCGACATACGCATTAGTATATATTTTACTGTGTAACCTATGTCATGCATATCATATTAGCAACTTTTAAGTAATTATTGCATGGGCATTGCATCCCATCATAGCGTAGTATTATACAGTTCTAACACACTTGTATTTATGGCGAAGAATGATTCAGATTAATGCGATGAATAGACTGGATAACTTATAAATAGCTATCCTGGACATATATTATTCTTTTGTGAAATATTGATATTGCCGATTACAGAAATGCACCTACAGCATATATTACATATTCTTAGGCGCATTATCTATACTTGAATATTTGAACATATCAGAGTCCGTCCGTGCGCTAGAGTATTTCAAATTACGCAACTCCTCTTAGAATCGATTTCACGGCGTCCCCGTAGTCCCCTTCCTCATGGTTGCCTAAATGGGCCATTTAGCCAGGACATGGCTCTATGGTACTCGCGTAGTACCTGCGGTACCAGAGGTGCGTCGAGTCATTTTGTTTGCCATGGCTGCCTGGTGCTCACCACGAACAGTATTACAAGAGTTGCTACTTTATATACGCGATAGATACTCCATCACTGGATCCGGCCGTAATTCGACGACGAATCCCGCCGGTCTCAGCAATTTGTGTTTTTAGAGTGCATGAAGGTTTGTCATTCTCTGATAGGACCGACTGTCGCCATTCTACGTATGCTCTCGCATGAACATCAAACTATATTTTAAAACATAGAACTCATCCAAGACCAAATTTCGTTTAATGCTGGAAGATCAGTCTATTTTATTCTTAAATGTTGTAGAATGACATACTAGCCTGAATACCTTCCAGTACTGCTTAGAAAAGAAACTGATCTCTACCCAGCCTAGGAGTGGCTGTTGTCTTTTAAACGTCAGACAGCTGTTTTGCCTTTTAAACAAATTTATGCACCGAACTGCTTAGACGCAGGCATGGCTTTTGTACTTGTCAATTTTGAGTGACTACCGTACTGCAAACACTTGAATGACATGGCGTGTTTAATCTTCCTGTTGCTTTCGCCTTGTGTTCGGCGTTTCACGACTCATCGCTGGATTTGACGCAGCTTTCGAGTTTTGAGGTACAGCACTGAGACGGCATATTATTTTTGTTGTCGAAGGATCACGTTGCCGATAAGGAGATTATTTTAAACCTTGCACTCGAAGTAACGCAATCGCGAATAAGTGAGACTAGAAGCTGAGGAACGAATGCCAGCGAGGTACCATGGTCATATATTATGGTAGGCATCAGTAATGGTCAAAGTTCATTTGGCACTACCGGGTGGTTTCAAGGTGCCAGAATGGATGCCGCCCACCGTTGCGGGATGACGCAGTTTCCACGGTAGTCATAAAGTTGTTTGCGCCGATTATCATGCGGGATGGTTGGCTGTCCTATAGGTGAAGGTAAACTGAAGGTAGTCCTATCACACCTTAAAAGGTTGTCCTATCATACAGCGAGGCCGTACCTTTTACTTCGATTCCGGTATGACCACAGCATGGCGCCACGCTGTCCGTGTTACTCACAAGTCTGCAACTCGCTGACCGTTTTCCGGTTCGTTTTACCGAAGCAACGTGTGATGAATTCGTTGTGCTAGAGAAGTTCACAGTTTTGGACTTGAAGCCGACATTTAGGAAGTTCGAGGATAACCTCTTACCGCTGTGCAACTGTCTCGATACGAAAATTGGAACAAATGGTTTGCAGAGCATCTAGCTGCTTTTATCATAGACATGGGAAAACGGACCATTCCGGCATCGTTATCCGGGTTTTCTCCGTCGAATGTTTTTTTCCATGATTTTTACTGATAAGGAGAGACTAAATGTAAGGCCATTATTAAAAACAATTTTTGCGCAGTTTGACTGTGCAGCGAATGTGCGGGCGTATTTGGTTTGAATAATACTTGAAATCTAATTAGTCGCCTATTCGAAAGAACTGATGTAACGAAGTAGGCTGTCAGTATCCCACTGTTTGGTCAGCATTTAATTATTTGGATAATGACGCTGGGTTGCGGCGAAACACGACGGTATTTAAACAGTTCACATAGTCCTGTCTGATTGCTATCCTGAACCATGGATTGGGAAGCGAAGATCATTGACTGTTGCCAAATCGATATGTCTTTCTATACTTGTATAGATCTGAATCGTTTAAGAAACAGCAGGGGACGACTTGTGCTATAAAGCACGTGGTAGAAGGTTATGATTAATTCTATCAAATTGCTAGCTAAGTAAACCATCATGGAGCATTAGCCACAAAAATAAGGAAGCACAAGCTGTAAATGCGCCCAATGGTTTAAGCAGGTTTTTCTTTGTCGAAAAGATCATCATAAGTCGAGATCTGGAGATATGTTATTGCTGTTAAAGAACTGTGTGCGTCAGAGGGTTGTACGATGAGTATCGCTCACAACTGCGATAAAAAAACAATTGTTTGGACTTCGGCTTTTATTAAAAACATTGCCTGACAATCAGGTTTTGCTTATGAATTTAGTATTCATACCGCCATCATAAATATGATGACAGTTGCGGAATTGCAGGACAGGGACCTCATGGGTTGTTGTTAACGTTTGTGGTTTAGAAAACTTGGGCTCGAATCCATTTGCAGATCGAGACTAGCAATTTTTTGAGCAGCAAATTCATCCCATCCATCATCCGTACAA